AAAAAAAATTGCAGATGCACCTTGGAAATCTGGGGGAAAATATATAAGCACAAAAAGAGATTGAGGGTGTTTCAGTTGATAGTCATTAGGCACCCTTCTATTGAGAGTGAGAGGCAGAAATTATGGAGGATGCGGAGGCAGCATAAGTCTGACTCTGAAGAATGGAGCTTTTGCTATGTTGAAAGCGACATAATGCACAGCATTAAAAAAAAAACACAATTATCCAGCTTTACTTTATGAACAGGGGGAAAAAACGTGTAAAATTGCCTCCAGTTTAAAGCAGGGAATGAATTCAGATCACATGAAGTGGGAAATTGTCTTTTTTTCCTTAGTGCACTAAGTATGATTTTTCTTGGGACCCTGAAGATGTCAAAGCATAGCTTTCCTTTATTTTTTAAAAAATATTATTGTCATGATTATTATTTCAAGATGCAGCTTCACTCATCATTCAGGCTGAAGTACAATGACACAATCTCGACTCACTGCAATTCTTTCCTCCTAGTTTCAAGCAATTTTTCTGCCTCAGCCTCCCAAGTAGCTGGGATTACAGGCATACACCACAATGCCCGGCTACTTTTTTTTTTTTTTTTTGGTAACTTTAATAGAGATGGAATTCCCCCATGTTGGTCGGGCTGGTCTCGAACTCCTGACCTTTGGTGATCTGCCTCCTGGGCCTCCCAAAGTGCTGGGATTACAGGTGTGAGCCACTGAGACTGGCTAGCTTTCCTTTAAAAGTATCCACTTTTTTTTTTTAACAGAAAAATATAAAATTGATTACCTTATAGTAGAATAACTCAATGAAACATTTTCAGAATCTCAAGATTGTAGCTAAAAAAAATCTAAAATACAAATTAGAATGTTTTACTCTCTGCTGACATCAATGTGGGAAAAAATGTCCATGAGGCATAGGCATTGAGTCTGAATTTGGCTAATATATATTTGGCACTCAGATATTAAGTACCTATTGTGGTTTGAGGGTAGTACACTTTGAGGCTGAATTTATACTATTATACTTGACATTAAGCAGCTCCAATTTTCAAATCTGTGCAGTTCTTTTAAAGAGTTTTTAAGGTAAAAATGGAATATTAGCGTTGCCTAATTGTAGCTAAGATGCACAATATGAATTCTGTGCCCCAGGAATCTTAAGAACTTATCATCATAAACTTACACAAGAAAAGTGAAGTATTAGATGAAAAGTGTACAGAAAATATTTGGTGTCAGTTTTGGAGAGGTAAAATTTAGATATATTTAATGAATTCAAGGTTCCAGAATACTACACCTGGTAATATTTAATTAAAGTGTAATCCATTTTACAAAATTAATTGAATGCATTCTGATCTGAATATATGAGAGTTAGATAGCTTTAAATAAAACAAATAAACAAAAATTCTGCTTCTATAAATAGCTGTCCTGGGAATGTTGTTGATCATTTCAGTCATATAAATAAAGTGAGTTGGTTTAATGATTTACCATTAAATTCTAAATATGTTGTGGCAGTTCAGACATTTAAGCTTTATTACCTGCTTTAATAAATTCTGAACTTTGTTCAAGAGGCTACATTGACCTTCCCCAAGGATTCTGCTAGGTATGAATAGGTAGTTCTCAATAAAGCAACTGAAAGTTTATAAATGTTTGAAAGTAGGTCTAGTCTGAGCTTGTTAGATAAAAAATGAGTCTATTTCTGATAGTATACTTCAATATAAGGTTTCATAACATTGAGATACAGTACATAGTTTCTGGATAATTCATGTATTTCTATTAATATATATATATATATATATATATATATATATATTTTTTTTTTTTTGAGACGGAGTTTCGCTCTTGTTACCCAGGCTGGAGTGCAATGGCGCGATCTCGACTCACCGCAATCTCCGCCTCCCGGGCTCAGGCAATTCTCCTGCCTCAGCCTCCTGAGTAGCTGGGATTACAGGCACGTGTCACCATGCCCAGCTAATTTTTTGTATTTTTAGTAGAGATGGGGTTTCACCATGTTGACCAGGATGGTCTCGATCTCTTGACCTCGTGATCCACCCGCCTCGGCCTCCCAAAGTGCTGGGACTACAGGCGTGAGCCACTCTATTAATAATTTCAAGAGGGTAAGCAACTTTTCACCTTTTTGATTCTCAAAAAAGTATACATATGGCATCCCAAAAGTTCATCCCTCTTATAAGGTCAAACTTAGATATGCTAGAGCTTCAGAAGTAAAAATTGCCAAAGATCAAATTTGCAGTCGTGTCTTCTAAATTTCCAGGTAAATGTTTGCATTCTTAAATTTTAAAATGGATACATTAGCATGCATTCATACTTCAGCCAAGAATCAATTATCTGACTTTTATGTTAGACTGCAGGATTTTGTAAGACCAAAACTGAATATGCAAATTTGAAGATGTTAAGTGGGGATATACTTTGGAAAACTCAGCCCAGAGTCCCTTAATTAATCGTTGGAATTGCTAGCTTTGATATTGGACCTTACATGACATTGTTTGTACTGTGCCGAAGTAAATATGCTGTAGTGAAATGGTATCTTTCCCAGTGAATTAATTTTCTTTACATTGTGTTTCATGATATAGCCCTAAAATGCAAACAGTAGATTATATAACATTCCTTTTTATGAAGTCACAACTTTGCTAAACTGATTTGAGTGTCTGCTGTCACAAAAGTGACATTTACTGGGGGAAATATGGAATAGGAAAAAAGGTGATGTTGAGACTGATTTCAAGGTTTGGGAATTTGTGTTGTGCCCAACAGACACACTCCCCATTAGAAAATAATTGTGGCGATTTAAGGATGAAATAATACATATGTTTTTGTTTCCACTGGTGTACATTAGTTTTTCAAGTACCTGCAATGTTGTTAGAATATTTTCGAGTACTTGAAATGTTGTTAGGTACTCGGATGGAAGAAATATCTCAATTCTGTTTGTTCGGTACTTTTCTTTATTAGTAAATTAGTGAAACTCTTAAAGATGTTGTGACTTGAGTTACTTTAGAAGCCTATAAGTGATTACATAGGATGAAGCATTTGGTTAGACTTAATTCAGGTTGTTGTGGAAACTTAAAATTGGCCTTTTATAATTAAATATTATACTAAAAGTATCAAAAAGAAACATCTGAGTTAGTGAAGTTTCAGTGTATTTATGCAATTGGAGAAACAAATGTACATAATTACAAGGTTTTAAATCAGAATTGCATTCCTAAATTTGCAACATTGGTTAAATTTGTGTTAATGAATCTGATTACTATTTTTTCCTACTGCTCCAAACATTTGACTTTCAACATAGAGTTGACACTGCAACATGGAAAAATAAATATTTAAGTCTGAATTAAATAGGATCTGCTTCTGAGACTGAAATACATTAGTTCTCATTGTGTATGTTTTAGTATTTGAGAACTGAACTATAAGAATAATTTATACAAATATATTAGTTAATTAAATAATAAGTTCAAGGCTATTTTTTCACATCCAATATAAGATGAATGTATTCTGTGCTTTGAATTCCTTACTGTACATGAAAAGTCATTAAAGCTCATTGGATTATACCATATTTTTCTTACTGAAGATAATATTTTAAAGTTTGTCTGATAAAGTACAGTCTAAATGCATTAGAAATCCTCAAGTGTGTAAAAGGCAACAGAATGTGGGGAAATCCAGATGTTCTTATTTAATTAAAAATAGCACGGATTTAAGGAAAGTACATTTTTAATGAATAAGCCACTGTTCATAGTAGGCTTGACAGGTGCTGTCTAGGTATACTGGCTTCACATGACACCTATGTTGTTGTTTTCCAAATAAGAAAACAAGTAATATTTTTGGAACAAAATGTGAACCTTAGAAAATTTTTTTCTGTGGCTAAATACTGTGTTCAGTTTTCCTAACCCAGTATTTGGTAGTGCATACAATATATTTCAAAGGATGAGGATAGAAAACAGCTTACCTATGCTACAGCAATACTTCAGGTTGCTTTTATGTCTAGTCTTTTGTTTTGAAAATTTTGCTGCAATAATTCTCAAAGTTCCCTGGTTATCTTATTGAAATAAAATTAGGCTTAGTGCACTGGTTCACACCTGTAATCCCAGCAGTTTGGGAAGCCAACGTGGGCAGATCATAGGTCAGGAGATTGAGACCATCCTGGTCAACATGGTGAAACCCCGTCTCTACTAAAAATACAAAAATTAGCTGGGCATGGTGGCGTGCACCTGTAATCCCAGCTACTCAGGAGGCTGAGGCAGGAGAATTGCCTGAACCCAGGAGGCGGAGGTTGCGGTGAGCCGAGATCGCGCCGTTGCACACCAGCCTGGGTAACAAGAGCAAAACTCTTTCTCAAAAAAAAAAAAATATATATATATATATATATATATATATATATAATATTTACCTACCCACAAAGGGGAATGGTAGCTATGTTGAATATCTGACAATGGCAACAGAAAAAAAATCCAATTGTGTTTTAATGCAGAAATCTTTCACATACTAATGCATTTGATAAGAAAAGAACTTGTCTGTTACTCAGAAAAAACTAATTTAATGACTCTCAGAATCACAGTTCACTTTGCAATTATAGCCATTCACTACTGCCCTGGCCAGTGTGGGAATCAGAGCAACGTGAAAATAAGATACAATGCCAACCAGTCCCCAATACCTACTCTGTACTTGCTGTATGCACAGCATACAAAGTATTTTATTGCTGGAAACTGACAGGTTTGAGCAAATTAGGAGAATAGGGGTATACCTTCATATTCAAAACCAATATTTGGTTACTTTATGAGTCACTGGCTCATGGGAATTTTGTGAATCACATGATCATAGTGACACTTTTTTTTGCTCAGAAGAAGTAAATGTCTTTGATATATGTATGACTGGCAAAGTCAAAATGAGTTCTGTTTGATTGTGTGTATGTGTAAGGATAAAAAGATATCTGTGGATGGTTTAAATACATTCTGACTTGTGATAACATGTTATCATTGCACTGAAAAAAAATCGTGTTAATCTATTTCAAGGTAGTGGTCAGCACTTCCTGTACGTCAACTCATCTGTCTCCAAGCAAGGATCCATTGCCAGAATTACTACCTCCAAAGACTTCCCAGCAAGCCTCGGCATGTGTACTGTTCGGTTCTGGTTCTACATGGTCGATCCCAGGAGTATGGGAATATTAAAGGTACGAAAGAAGGCACAGATTTATGTTCACTGAAATATGCGTGACATTTTTAAACATTGTCTTTCCTTTTCTTATTTGTATTTTTGTTGGTCACACCACCAATGCTGATGCCATTAATTTCTCATTTTTTTCTGGGGCAATGGGGACTTTGGCAAGCTGTGCTGTCATTCATCTTAATCTCATTCAAGATTTATCTCGCTGATGGCTGCCACCTGAACTCAATTATGTTGCATGCTATTTAAAGATTATCTGGAGATAAAAGAATTTGGGCAGATTCCACATGTACTTTCTATGAGCAACTTAGCTAGGGACAGTGAAGAAATGCGATGTGAGGCATAATGGTGAAGAAGTTAATTTTCTACCCAAAACTCAGTAAAGGAAAAGCAAATGTGAGACTTTAAGTATATATCAGCTCTTGGTAAAATCAACATGCATGCTCTATTTTTAACTAAGGTGATAATCTGTGCAAAACGCAGATACTTTGATGAAACAAGTTGCTGCAGTTATACTTTTCATTGTATCAATGAGTTTTTCAACCGTCATGCACCAATGTTAAGATCTTGGTTTCTAATTAAATGATTACATGTGGGCACACTGCACCTACTGCTATTAACTTACAATTATCCATCCTGCTTTTTGAATAAATACAATTGGGATTTTTGTCTTTATAGCAAATATTGTTCTTTGTAAAAAATAACAGCTGTTATTAAGTGCTGTCTTATATTTACTTGTATTATAAACATTCTGTGTTATCAGTTTTAATTCTCACCTTTACCAAATGAGGTAACTGTATTTTTCCCAATTTTACAACAAAGAAACAGACTCAAAGAGGCTTACTAACTTTTCCAAGATTTCACAGTTTGAATTCTGATTTAAAAATCTGATATCTTTTTTTTTTGTTTTGGTGTGGGGGCGTGGGGAAGGGCAGAGTCTTAATCTATCACCCAGTCTGGAGTGCAATGGTGTGATCTCAGCTCACTGCAGCCTTCAACTCCTGGGTTCAAGTGATTCTCCTGCCTTAGCCTCCTGAGTAGCTGGGATTACATGTGTAATCCCAGCCCCGCGTTTTTTGTATTTGTAGTAGAGATGGGGTTTTGCCATGTTAGCCAGGCTGGTTTTGAACTCCTGACCTCGTGATCCTCCCACCTCTGCCTCCCAGAGTGCTGGGACTATAGATGTGAGCCACTGCACCGTCCCCCTCAAAAATATTAAGCCTATTGCCTAGTATTGTTTCTCAGATTCTCTGTGGCTTACCAAATAAGTCAGAAGAGATACATGGGAAAATGGGAGAAAGAATAAAGGCCCTATCAATTCTAGGCAGGGACAGAAATTGAAACTCTTAAGTAAAAATCTAAACATGCAAAGAAAGTGGAGAATTTATCCTTATTCTATGAGAATGTCTGTTTTTTTTTCCAAAGGAAGCCAGTAAAACAAGAGAGAAAGAGGTTCATTTTTAACAGTTGGGGAGCACAGGAGTAAATGCAAAGCATGTAAAATTTTTAATTTTTTAATAGTTTTTACATCTAATCAATGAATATTCAGTAGATTAGCCTATTGCTTATGCTAAACTTTATCCGGTGTCATTTATAACCGTTGAGCTGCAGGAAACTGCGTAACACCTTATTTCTACTGACATTATTAAACATGGGTTGCTACAATTAAAGAGGACAGTTGTCTACAGTTGCTCATCAAAGCAAATATCAATGGAAAGGCCACCAGACCTTTCCATACAATATAGGCAGATTTTGGTCACTTTCTAAGAAAATGTTGCTTCCTCAATTCAAAAAGAGCACCCATGTATTCTTTAGCTACTCACCAGCTGGACATTCAGTTCCATAGTTACCCAGTTAAGTGGCCCTGTATGTTTAGTCATGTTTCTGTAAGTAGCCTTTGAAATAGAAATGCTGACCTCACATCTTGATTTCTGATACCTGGTTTGGTGCCTACTGATTTTTCTAATCAGAAGGCAGCAGTTAAGTATAACAATGTTTTTCTACTCTGGGCAGTTTTCAGAGAGGTCTATACTGGAAAGAATAGTGGCAGGAAATTGATAATCAGCATGATATTGACTTTTCTGTAGCAATGGTCTTAGTGGTGTATTAGGTCATTCTTGGATTGCTATAAAGAAATAACTGGGCCGGGCGCGGTGGCTCACGCCTGTAATCCCAGCACTTTGGGAGGCCGAGACGGGTGGATCACAAGGTCAAGAGATTGAGACCATCCAGGTCAACATGGTGAAACCCCGTCTCTACTGAAAATACAAAAAAAAAATTAGCTGGGCATGGTGGCGCGTGCCTGTAATCCCAGCTACTCGGGAGGCTGAGGCAGGAGAATTGCCTGAGCCCAGGAGGCGGAGGTTGCGGTGAGCCGAGATTGCGCCATTGCACTCCAGCCTGGGTAACAAGAGCGAAACTCCATCTCAAAAAAAAAAAAAAAAAAAGAAATAACTGAGACTGGTAAATTATGAAGAGAATAGGTTTAATTGGCTCACAGTTCTCCAGGCTGTAGAGGAAGCATGGCACTGGGCATCTGCTCAGCTTCTGATGAGGTCTCAAGAAGCTTTTAAGTATGGCAGAATACAAAAGGGGAGCTGTCACGTGGTAAAAGCAGAGGCAAGAGAGGGAGGTGTCATACACCTTTAAATGGCCAGATTATCATGAGAACTCACTCACTATCATGAAGACAGTATCCAGCCATGATGGATCTGCCCCCATGAACCAAGCACCTCCCACCAATCTCCACCTCCAGCATTGGGGATTCCATTCAGCATGAGATTTGGACAGGGTCAAATATCCAAACTATATCTGTGGGGTTGACTGCCACAGTGACTTTCTTTTACTACTTTCATGGGTGGCCTCAGTAGGCCCAATTATAGGCTCCTCTAGCATTTGCTGCACAGGAAGAGAAGTATTTCTCTTTCTTCTGGATTATAACTTGTAGGAGCATAGACTAGGCTTGCAGCTATGGGAGACCATCTTTCCCCACAAAGGAAGAGAGACTGCCTGACAAAGAAGATAACACACAGAGGGACACAGGACTAAAGAAAGGGGAAGAAACAGAAAGGTACCTGATCTTTTTAAACTCTCAGTCTCACTTTTCCTGCACCAGTAGAATTCTCCTTTGTTACTTGCTACTGAAAAAGCCCTAATCATTATGGAAACTCAGCAAAAACTATTTTCATAATGTGTCCTTATATCACTGATGGATCATAGCAGCTGGAGCAAATCTTATTTTCACAACTATTGCTGTGGAAAATCTTGACTTATTCACAGATTCAACACTTTGCTAGCATGCAGTAATTTTACATGTGGAGGAACCAATGAAGTGGAAACCCATTCTCCCTGTTCTTCGGATTGAGGCTTTCCATCAACATGCTTTTCTTTCACTTGCTACTTTGTGCTTTCTTATAATCTCTACTTAGGGCATTATAGTGGGTGCAGGACCACCCATTATAAAGGAGCTGTGGACCCATGTTTGTGGTTCTATTTTCACAAATATTTGACACTCGAAGTTCAATTAATATAATCTGGATTTGCTGTGGGAAAGAACTTTTTCTAAGTGAAAAAGAAGTCCTTCTTTTCCTTCTCTAATGATGTTGACAGCATAAAAAGAATCTTAGAAGAATAAAATAAATGATTATATCTACTGTTGGTGTGGAAGCAAAGAAGTAAATACACATTGTTAGTTGGACCATCAATTTGCAATTATGCATAATATTTTGACAATTAAAAATTTATAATTTTTATGTTATTTACTAAAACATTTTACATCTAGAAATTTATTGTAATAAAGATAGATATGTATGCTATTTTATTTATAAAGTTTTTTAATCTCAGTGTTTACCATAGCAAATATTGGAAATCACTTGAACATCGAAAAGTAGGAATTACTAAAATATAGTACATTCAGAAACACTGTGGAACAGTTAATTCTGTGAGTGAATAATTAGTTATAAAAAGAAATGTTTATGATTTTTTAATGACCTAAGCAGATTATTAAGAAATATGTATACTAGTATGCAATTTTTAAAAATTATCAAATTTTGTGTGAAAATGTGTATGTATGTATGTATGTGTCTATAGATATTTTCCCATATAAATATATGCACATATATATGAGAGGGATAATAAATAAATGGAGAAATACATCCTACAATAGTTTAAATAATTATTTGTACATTTTGAAGTGAGAAGGTTTATTTTATTATTTTACAGCCTTATATGTTTCATAATTTTTCTACATGAAACTTACATTAGCTTCTTGAAAAAAATTGTGTATTTCTAAGGGGTCCTCATATTTGGAAGGGGTGAGAGACACTGCCCCAGAATGTACCATAAACACATGGTTAATATTAGCAAATATGGTTCCAGAGTACATGGTAGATAACAGTTGCCTGAAACTATTTGTTATGTTGATTATATAAATCATTCAAAACGGATATGGCAAAAAAAATACCTAAGGTGAATTTTCAGAGGCGAGAGTTTATGAGGCAATAAAAATAGCAAGACATTCTCAAAGAGATTCCAAATTATAAATTGTAGGAGTATGTCCCTTGTCAGCGTAAGTTTTCTGAAATCTCACTAAGTGTTACGCATTTCCCGCTCTTCCAGGATCTGCTCTGTATTCCCAAGAACTATGCTTCCTTGGCTCCTTTGCTTTCTGCCTTCCTAGATAGTTCTGGTCAATGGAAGGCACCCCACAAAGACCTGAGGACAGGAAGAGAAGACAAGCCTTCCTTCTCTCTCTTTAATTTTGGATTTAATCTCTAACTGTACCTTATCTGTGACTCAGCTTCCCTCAAATAGGCCCTGCTTCTGTAGGTCCAGCTCCCACAAAGTATGCCTGACAAATGTCCTGTTCTTCCAGCAGCTTGGCTTTGGCAACTTTCTTCCTTTGTCCCTCTCGTTTTAGGATGGAAGCATTCTACATATGGTAGGCTGTGTCATAATTTCCTTGCTAATTTCTCATCCCTTTCGTAACCTTTGTGATCAGTCTCCTAT